GAGACACTGTGTCCTGGGAGTGCCTTTTCCTCCTGAGTACTGTAGGTCCTGTTTGGTATTTTCTTCCAGAACAGGCCTTATCACACTGTGTATGTCACTACGATTCTTAAATCTCTCAAACCAACCTTTGCTGGCTCTAAATTCACCAATATGAGCACTAGTTCCAGGCATTTTCCCTGTTCACCTGGGTGTTAGTCGACTGGTGTGGGTTGCATCCTGGGAGACAAGATTAAGGACCCCAATGGAAATAAGTTAGACAGTCTTCGATGACACTGACTTTTTTGGGCTATCCTGGGTGGCAAATCCTCTGGGGTTAATTGTTTCTTGGTATTCTCAATAAGCCACACCAACAACGGTGCTACAGCAGCAGCAGCAGCAGCTGACGGTGGTACAGCAGCAACAGACGATGCTACAGCAGCAGCAGACGATGCTACAGCAGCAACTGACGATGTTACAGCAGCAGCAGACGATGCTACAGCAGCAACTGACGATGTTACAGCAGCAGCAGACGATGCTACAGCAGCAACTGACGATGTTACAGCAGCAGCAGACGATGCTACAGCAGCAGCAGCAGCAGACGATGCTACAGCAGCAGCAGCAGCTGACGGTGGTACAGCAGCAACAGACGATGCTACAGCAGCAACAGACGATGCTACAGCAGCAGCAGACGATGCTACAGCAGCAACTGACGATGTTACAGCAGCAGCAGACGATGCTACAGCAGCAGCAGCAGCAGACGATGCTACAGCAGCAGCAGCAGCTGACGGTGGTACAGCAGCAACAGACGATGCTACAGCAGCAACAGACGATGCTACAGCAGCAGCAGACGATGCTACAGCAGCAGCAGATGATGCTACAGCAGCAGCAGACGGTACTACAGCAGCAGGAGCAGCTGACGGTGGTACAGCAGCAGCAGCTGACAGTGCAGCAGCAGCTGACGGTGATACAGCAGCAGCAGCAGCTGTACCACCAATAGTAGCGATGGTTGATTGGGGTTTATTATACAACCTGGCCAGCTCGGAGATACGCACTCCACTTTCATACTTATCAATGATCTTTTTCTTCATCTCCATAGTAATTCTCACCCTTATTGCTGTAGGGTTGGCACTAGAAGCTTTCTTGGGGCCCATGGTCACTTATTTTCCAGAAAAAAATCACCAAAAACACTGTAATAATACAAAATGTTCCGATTATATGCTTGGATGTTACCGCGGAGGCTGGCTGGTAAACAATGCCACCCGCGGAACATGTGAGCGTGGCTCAGGCCGCACATTGGACGCGTCTCGGACGAAGGCCGCTGAGCGGGTTTTTGGGCGCTATGCGGGGCAAAATTTTAGCGATCAAAGCGTCCGCTATGCGGATTGTCCGCTATGCAAGGCGTCCGTTATGCGGGGGTCCACTGTATTATTATTATTCTTAATTTAGGGAACTGAAGTGCTATCATTATAATAATAATAATATTATTATTATTATTATTATTAATTGAGGGAACTGAAGCTCTGTCATTATTATTATTATTATTATTATTATTATTATTAATTTAGGGAACTGAAACTCTATTGTTATTATAATAATAGAATAGACCTCCATTAAAGAATTGTTGCACAATTTTATGTAACATGTCATATAATTAATTTAACATGGTTCAGTTTGTCGGAAAGAAAAAAGAATTCTCTTTTGCTCAAGCAGCCGTCTTGTTGTGGGTCAGCCAGGGAGGATTCCCCTACCACTCCCCGACACCCCCCCCCACCATCCCAGCATTCGTAATTCAAACGTGTCAAGTCTTTCTCTGCTACAAGGCAGCTGTGTCTGTCAATTGTGTTATGATATTTTAATTACTATATCTTGTATCTGCCAAGCAATCATGACACCCAGTAGCCATACTAGTGTTGCTGAAAGTGGCACCAAGAGGTATAAGCACTTAAGTCTTAGAATTAACGAAGATATTAGACAAGAGATAACCTGTAGCCATAACTGAAGTGTTACTTTGTACACAGAAAGAGGTTAACATGAGTTTGTGTGACTGACAGAGTGACTGAACTGACTGACTGACTTACTGAGTGACTCTCTGAGTGGCTTGACTGAGTGGCTAGGCAGACTTACTGAATGACTTGACTGACTTAATGACTAGACTGACTTACTGAATGACTTGACTGACATACTGAGTGACTTGACTAACCTACTGAGTGACTTGACTTACTGAATGGCTTGACTGACCTACTGAGTGACTTGACTTACTGAATGACTTGACTGATTTACTGAATGACTTGACTGACTTATTGAGTGTCTTGACTGACTTATTGAGTGATTTGACTGTAATAATAATATAGTATTAATATTATTGCTGACAAGAAAAACAAAATGATTTCCATGGAACTAAAGCATGAAATCATGAACAAGCGAGGTGTCCAAGTTTTGCGTTGAGGGGGGATGGGAGGGGGGAACTGGCTTGTCACTCAGAGCAAAAAATCGACCCAGGGACGGCTCGTATTTCAAAAAACTCATAAGTCAAGGTTCCACTGTATTAACAAAAAAATTTTTTTTTTAGCTTAAATGTAGATTTACATGCAGAAAGGAATGACAAATAAAATAAAATGTATAAATGAACATTTAACATGAAATTTACCTTTACTGACGAAGAGGGGAGAGGAAGACAAGTTTATTGTTGGAGACAGGACAGTATGCTTCAATATAATACTAATATCAACTCTATGGCTTATTTATGTATGACAATTCATCTCATGTGACATAATAAACAATAATAATAACATAGAAACATGACATATACTCTAGAATGAATAAAACATGTCATTACGTATGTCATGAGTGGTGTTGTGTTGTTGTTGTTGGGTGTATAAGGGCCACTGAGAGCATAAGCCGTACATAGTGATGGTGAAGGTCAGCAGAGGCGGCAGTGTTCTTAGTAACCCTATATATCTCCAACAACATTGGAGGAGTTAGGTTCGTGCTGTCCTTTTTCTATCAATTAATCGCTTAACTTCCTTGCTACACTGTTAATGCTTCACTTTATCACTGGCTGGTGCTATAGCCTTTCTCGACTTGTGCTGCTTTAGTATTGTACGTATTGTAGAATCACTGAAGAAGGCACATTCTCCCCTCTCTCTTCCTCCTCCACATTGGTACTTTACTACGATTTCTTTCTTTAATTCTATCATGTTACTCACTTTCTTTACCAAAGGACTGACACAATAAACAAATGCCAAAATCAATGGATTATTATGAAATCTTTCCTGTGACCTCCCAGGATAATGTTCACTCACCAACAAATAACGTGGCACTGGCCTCAGAATGTGTGTGGGGGAGGCGTTGTGTGTGCATAGACCCTCAGACACATACCATACCAACAATGAAAACTGAGGAAAGCAACAAAAATGTAGGCAGTATTTTGGCGAAAGCTGAAATCAACAAAAACAGAGATTGACAAAAACAGAGGGTCCACTGTAGTTGGATAAATCTTATTAGACTGACATTGTGCGTTAGTTTTAGCACTGGTCTGCTAATTTTAGGGCTGGCTTAGCATGGGCTCAAATCTTGTTGATTCCATGAATTATTTAATTATGCTGGTAAGAGTTCATGAATCACATTATAGCCTTTTGAATTATATTTTCTGAGTACCTGTAATGAAGACTTGCCACAAGTTGCTTTTGATGTTGAATTGAAGAGCATATAACAGATTTATGGATTTAGAGAATATGATAGAGTGGATAGGGGAACAATGTGGCAGATCTTGCAAGTGTATGGAATAGGTAGTAAGTTACTAAATACTGTAAAGCATTTTTTTGAGGATAGTGAGACTCTGGTTAGAATGTGTAGGATAGGAGATTACTTCCCAGTAAAAGTAGATCTTAGACAGGGGTGTGTAATGTCACCATGGTTGTTTAACATATTTATAGATAGAGTTGTAAAAGAAGTAAATGCTAGGGTGTTAGGGAGAGGGGTGGGATTAAACTATGGGGAATCAAGTACAAAATGGGAGTTGTCACAGTTACTTTTTGCTGATGATAGTGTGCTTTTGGGAGATTCTAAAGAGAAATTGCAAAGGTTAGCAAACAAGTTTGGGAGGATGTGTAAAGAAAGAAAGTTGAAAGTGAACATTGGTAAAAGTAAGGTGATGAGGGTATCAGACAAGTTAGGTAAAGAAAAATTGGACATCACATTGGAGATAGAGGAGTATGAAAGAAGTGAATGTGTTCAGATATTTGGGAGTAGATTTGTCAGCAGATGGGTTTATGAAGGACGAGGTTAACCATAGAATTGATGAAGAAAAAAAGGTGAGTGGTGCATTGAGGTGTCTGTAGAGACAAAAAAATGTTATCCATGGAGGCAAAGAAGGGAATGTATGAGAGTATAGTAGTATCAACACTTACATGGGTGTGAAGCATGGGTTGTGAATGCTGCAGTAAGGAGGAGGTTGGAGGCAGTGATGTCATGTCTAAGGGCAATGTGTTGTGTAAATATTATACAGAGAATTTGTAGTGTGGAATATTAGGAGGTGTGGAGTTACTAAAAGTATAATTTTAAGGGTTGAAGTGGGGTTATTGAGGTGGTTTGGTCATTTAGAGAGTTTGGAGCAAAATAGAATGACTTGGATAGTGTATAAATCTGTAGCGGAGGGGAGGAGGGGTAGGGGTTATCCTAAGAAAGAATGGAGGGAGGGGGTAATGGAGGTTTTGTGTGCAAGGGCCCTGGACATGCAGTAGGCATGTGTGAGCTTGTTAGAGAGGAGTGAATGGAGACGAATGGTTTCTGGGACCTGGCGAGCTGTTGGAGTGGCTTGAGATATTGGCTGTTTGAAGTGACATGTGAACTGTCATGTGTGGGCACCTCTGCAAAGACAGTGATTATGTGTAAATGATGGTGAAAGTGTTTCTTTTTGGGTCACCCTACCTCGGTGGGAGATGGCTACGTGTTAAAAAAAAAATCAAAATCAGACTTAGCACAAAATATCTTTTTATGTTTATAAATGTTTTGTGTTTCAGGGGAGTGTCTACGTTCCATCTACACCTATAATGGCATCACCTGCCTTGGGTGTGGAACATGGGGAGTAGTGACTGGAACAGAAGGTGGCAAGCTTGAAATATGGTGTTTAGTCACTAGTCATCGTCTTGCCTTTATCAATGCCTTTCAGAGTCAAACCACAGCTCTTGATGTAAGTTGTGACATAAACAGGTATTTTTACACTTATTGTTTGATGTTGCATTTTTGCTTTGTTTTTATTTTTATTTTTTACTGTCCACAATGGGCATCTGGATACTGTGAATCAAAGTTTTCATTGAATTTGTTAATATAATTTGGTATCCCCAAAAGTTCCTTGAATTTGTCTGTCTTTTTTTCTGCTTCCACCTTCTTGATTATATTTTATTCATAACTCTTAAATGCATCATTTATATGAATTCAAATTTTCAATACATTTGTTTAAAATGTTCAGTACTTAGTGTTGAAAATTTGTATATTCACTTGCCCCATTGCCAGATTTATTCATTCCCTTCCCAGGGTGTAATAAGACCAAAAACATTTTTTTTTTTTTTTTGTTAATTTGTACATTTTTATGTTCTGGTAATTACACTTTATAGTAGTTCTTGTGATTTCATAGCCAGTCTTTGTTCTGACACTATTACAACCTCTCCTCACTTACCGATGTACTCGTTTACTGACAACTCGGAGTTATGACGGGCTCTCAGTGATGAGTCGATATTGTATGTTGTACGAGAACTTGGGTCATGGAAGCAGGCAGCGCAGTGTCTCGGCATCTAGCATCTCAATCTCCTTCCTGCAGTCACTTAGTACACTAGCTTTTAAAGTCTCCAAGACTACATATTTGTGCAAATTTTCACCTTATTGTGCACCCCATAGCACAAGATAGAAGTGCAGGAGCACTTGGAAGAGGAAAAAGAGGAAAGTGGAAGAATTACAAAAGAAGTTCACAGTAAAGGGGTTAGCTGGTGTGTTCGTCTGTGTGTTTTCATTCTTTGTCTCTCATGGCAGCTTAATTCAGAAATGACTAAACTCAGTGAACAAGGTATGTCAATGCTAATAATAATAATAATTAATACAGTGAAACCACGGTTTTCGTCATTAATTCGTTCCAGAAAATCTGACCAAAACCGATTTCGATGAAAACTGAATCAATATTTCCCTTAAGAAATAATGTAAAGTCAATTAATCCGTTCCATACACTCAAAAGTATTAACAAAAAATAAAATTTTTAGAGAATAACTATAGTTTTACATAGAGAAAACAATGAGAAATAAATATAAAGGACTAATGAAATGGATAAATGAACATTTAGCATATACATTTATTGAAGACTCTTGGCGTATGGAAGGACGACAAGGAGGGAAGAGAGAGGAGAGGTTCTCTCTACCACCATCACTACCACCCTCTACCACAATCACTACCACCCTCTACCACAATCACTACCACCCTCTACCACCATCTACCACCATCACAACCACTACCACCCTCTACCACAATCACTACCACCCACTTCCACCATCATAACCACTACCTCCCTCTACCATCATCACATTCACTGCCACCCTCTACCACCATCACAACCACTACCACCATCACAACCACTACCACTCTCTACCACCATCACTACCACCCTCTACCACCATCACTACCACCCTCTACCACAATGACTACCACCCTCTACCACCATCATAACTACTACCACCCTCTACTACCATTACATCCATTGCCACCCTCTACCACCATCACATCTACTACCACTCATTACCACAATCACTACAACTCATTACCATTACAACCACTACCACCCTCTACCACCATCACATCCACTACCACTCATTACCACAATCACTACAACTCATTACCACAATCACTACCACCCTCTACCACCATCACTATCACCTTCTACCACCATCACAACTACTGCCACCCTCTACCACCATCACAACCACTACCACCCTCTACCACCATCATAACCACTACCACCCTCTACCACCATCACATCCACTGCAACCTTCTACCAACATCACAACCACTGCCACCCTCTACCACCATCACCATCACTACCACCCTCTGCCACAATCACTACCACCCTCTTCCACCATCACTACCACCTTCTACCACCATCTCTATCACCTTCTACCACCATCACAACCACTACCACCCTCTACCACCATCACAACTACTACCACCCTCTACCACCATCACTACCACTACCACCCTCTACCACCATCATAACCACTACCACCATCACATCCACTGCAACCCTCTACCACCATCACAACCACTGCAACCCTCTACCACCATCACAACCACTTCCACCCTCTACCACCATCACAACCACTACCACCCTTTACCACTATCACAACCACTACCACCCTCTAGCACCATCACTACCACCCTCTTCCACCATCACTACTACCCTCTGCCACCATCACTACCACCCGCTGCCACCATCACTACCACCCTCTACCACAGTCACTACCACCCTTTTCCTTTGTAGAGGTTAGTAGTGATATTTTCCCACAAAGCTTTGCAATTCATTCTACCAGTTCTTTCTTGAATTCTATTGTGTTTCTCGCCTTCTTTATCAAAGGGCTAGCAATCAGAAGTTTCTTTGGCCCCCATGGGGACTTATTTAGCAGTCACACTCAATAAACAAGCATGAAAAAAATGAATTATTGCGAAATGTTTCGGATGAACACACAGGTTAATGTTCACTCGCCAACAAAGCCAGTCTGACTCAGAACGTGTGGGATGCTTCGTGTGAGTGCGAGTGGACACATTCGGTGCAGTGGACCACTGTAAACTTAATGAAAACCGAGGTGATTAACGAAAATGGACAAAATTTTAGCGAAAAAGTTGTCAACAACCGAATTCGACGAAAACCAGGGCAAATGAAAACCAAGGTTCCACTGTACTTTTAATAATAATCACTCTCGAGCACTTTAAATGTCAGCTACCAAACTACAGTGGTCCCTCAATAATCGTCTGGCCTGAAAATCGTCCATTTCGGTAATATAGTCCTGATTTTTTCGTCAAAATATTGGCTCGCAAATGGTCCGGTAACTCGCTAATAGTCCTTCATCCCGGACGCGTACTCACGCTCTGAGCCGCCTCAGCCTTTCCTTCCCAGCCAGTGTGCCATTGTTTACCAGTGAGTGACAGTCCCCTCACATGCTCCTACGAAATATTTCATAATATTCCATTGATTTTAGTGCTTGCAAGTGCTAAATAAGCTACCATGGCTCCAAATAAAGCTTCTAGTGCCAGCCCTTTGGTAAAGAATGTGAGAAACACATAATTTATGAAAAAGTTTGTAGAAAAATACAAAGATGGTGGTGGTAGAGTGGAAGCAGTTGTGATAGTGGTTGATGAACATAAGAAAGGAGGATCACTGCAGCAGGCCTGTTGGCCCATGCTCGGCAGGTCCTTTACAATTCATCCCACTAACGAAACATTTTCCCAACCCAGTCCTCAATGCTATCCAAGAAATAAGCTCTGATAACTCTATCCACTCATTTGCAAGTCCCAAATGAATGGATAGAGTTATCAGAGCTTATTTCATGGGCATGGGTAGCATTGAGGACTGGGTTGGGAAAATGTTTCGTTATTGGGATGAATTGTAAAGGACGTGCCGAGCATGGGCCAACAGGCCTGCTGCAGTGATCCTCCTTTCTTATGTTCTTATGTTCATCAACCACTATCACAACTGCTTCCACTCTACCACCACCATCTTTGTATTTTTCTACAAACTTTTTCATAAATTATGTGTTTCTCACATTCTTTCCCAAAGGGCTGGCACTAGAAGCTTTCTTTGGTGGTAGTTATGGTGGTAGAAGGTAGTAGTGATGATGGTAGAGGGTTCCTTCTTTAGTGATTCTGTGATTCTACCAACTCCTCCAATGTTGTTGGAGTTATATAGGGCTACAAAAACCACCACCGCCTCAGCTGCTGTTTCACCACCATTATGGATGGCTTACACTCAGTGGCCCTTATATACCCAACGACAACACAACACAGCACCTCTCGTGACATACGTAATGACTTATTTTATTCATTCTAGAGTATATTCCATGTTTCTATGTTATTAATATTGTTTATTATGTCATATTAGTTGAATTGTGATAGATAAATAAGCCATAGAGTTGATATTAGTGTCATATTCTCCAACAATAAACTTGTAAAGTAAAAGGACACAAGTGCAACTAATGTGACATTTATTGTGGCAACGTTTCGCTCTCCAGGAGCCTTTATATACCCTCTGTGTCCATGTATTGTTTGTAATGGCTTGATAAAGCTCGTGGAGAGCGAAACGTTGCCACAATAAATGTCACATTAGTTGCATTTGTGTCCTTTTACTTTACATATTGTCGGTAATTCTACCAACTTTATTACAACAATAAACTTGCCATCCCTCCTTCACACAAACAAATAGCCAATAAGAACATAACAATGGAAGAACACTGCAGGTCTACTGGCCCATACAAGGCAGGTCCTTATCAAAATAACCTCCACCCAAAGCTACCCAAGAATTTACTCCCGTACCCAATGACACAAATCAAACTCAGCTCCTCCAACTCGTATATTTGTCTAATCTCTTCTTAAAGCTACCCAAGGTCCTAGCCTCGATCACCCTACTGGTAAGTGTGATGTTAAATAAGAACTTAAGAAAGTAGGAACACTGGAACAGGCCTGCTGGCCTATACTAGGCCGGTCCTTCACAAATCCAACCCACTAACAGAACAAATGCTACCCAAGCAATAAACTCAGGTGCAAGTCCGACTCAAATCCAAACCCTTTCACTCGTGTATTTATCCAACTTAAATTTGAAACTACCCAATGTTTTAGCTTCGATCACCCTACTAGGCAGACCGTTCCACTCATCAACTACCCCTATTACCAATGTTCATTTATACATTTTATTAGTGCCCTAGAGTCCATATGGAAGGGGATTCCCCTTCCAAATAACCTCTCTTCCCTCTCTCCTCCTCCCTGTCTTCCATTCATCAACAACAGCCTTCAATAAAGGTAACTGTCATATTGAATGTTCATTCTTTTGTGCATGTAAATCTATCTTTTAGGTAAAAAAAAATTGTTGTTGATGCTTCTGGGTGTCTGGAATGAATTAATTGGATTTACATTATTTCTTATGGGGAAAATTGATTCGAAAAT